GCGCACGCCTGTGCGAGGAGGCAAGCAGCTGGAAAGCAAGAAAAGAACAAAGGGCGGCGCTGGAGCTGGAGGACATCAGATTGGAGCAAAAGGATCGAGCGGGAAGCGGCCCAAGAGATTCCTCTTCGGCCTGGGCCTGGAGCTTGGAGAGCCTCCTCCTCCAGTCCAGCGGCGTGCGTGGCGTGTCGGGCGGCGTGACGCCGTGACGGCCATCTCCATTACACGGGGCTGTCACGCCGTGTCACGACGGTGTCACGTCACGCGCGCTGGTTATGTGTGTGTGTGTGTGCGCGCGCGCACGCTGCTGGCTCGTCATCGTGGTTCATGAGGGCTAACTGATGTCGTACCCTCGGCACCACCGGCACCAACGACCACCTTGACGAGTAAGTAATAGTCACGATGCACGGCGTTTCGTTACATTTTGGAGTGGATGGAGCTGGTTTGGTGGGATACGCCTGCATGCCACTTGTTGTTGTTGTTGCCCTTCCCCATGGCCGCGAGTGGCCGCAGGCCGTAGGTCAACGGCAGAGCGAGAGGTGGAGGGGGAGGCAGGGGGCAGGGGGCAGCCGCGGGGGCGTGGCGGGTGAAGGTCGCCCCAGTAGCCGTGGTCATGCACTCCCCCGCACAATAGCTCATTAATCGATCGGTTACGCGTCTCGGGTCGGCCGGGCCGCGCCGGGCTGGCGCTCAAGGACCCGGGCCGCTGGAGGATGGGCCTGTCCTGCCCTAGGTCCGGCCCCAGGCCAGCACGCCGACCCGACACGGACACGACCCCAAGGGCGCGCGCCATACGTCGACCTCTTCGTTCCTTCCGCGGGGCACGCGAGTATAGCGTGGAGGCAGGCGCTGTCCGTCCAGTATTCTCTTTTCTTTTTGCGAGGACCTGCCTTGTCGTCAAGCCCGGAAGACATCGCTGCAGTACGATATCGGCGTTTTTCTTGTCCAATTTATTCTCGCTCACTGACGCGAAAATTGTCGTCGGCCGACTCGTCCAGTGCCCTCTGCAGGCCACACGCGGTGGTCGCGCCCGTCACGGAGGCGACCCGCCAGGACCTTCGTGACCCGCGCGATGCGGCGGAGGCTCAGAGCACGAAGGAGTACGGCGGCGGCGGCGGCGGGGGCCGCTTGGCCTCGGGTGGCGGCGGCCCGCGCGGCGGCCGGATCCACGACGGCTCGTCACGCGGTGCCGCGGCCCGCCCAGGTCGACGACGGCGCCCCGGAGGACGGCGACGGCCGCGACCCCCCGCGACGTGTTCCGCTCGCCACTCGCGCCAGACGTGGCTCAGGTACGCTGACCCGCGGTGGACGCCCTGCTCGCCCAGCAGGGCGCCGATCGCGGCGACGAGCCCCGTGAACAACATGCAGAACGGGCCGACCATGTCGGCCAGCTTCACCTGCAACGGCACAAGCAGGAGCAGGTCTGAGAGCATGGAATCCCGGCCAGGGCACGTCGATGAAACGTAGAATATTGTAGTAAACGTTATTGGTTGAAGAATCGACGAAATTTCGATTTTGTTGTCGGATCGATGTAGATCGTCGACGCAATTTTACGTACTGACCCGGATGCTCTCACCAGCTGCCCAAGAGCTCGCCGACGCTCGCCTGTGGTAGCCGGCGTAGGACTTCTCCTTGAAGTGGTGTATGAGCCCGGCGGACTGCAGCATGCCCAGGATGCGGTTCAGGGGATGGAGGAAGGGCGAGCACTTGGGCATGATGTAGCCGAGGAAGTACTCGCGGGGGCACTGAGGCAGCAGGTACACCGTCGTTTCGTTCGTGGTGCGCATCGAGTTCCGCCTGTTCAGCCGTGCGACCCGACCGCTCCTGGTCATCTGCGACAGCAACCAGGTCGAGCTTCGTCAGCAGCGCGCGGTGGGGGCAGTGGGGGCGCGAGACAGCCTTTATTGCTTCCGGCGAGGTGCTGACGGTTGTTTTGCCCCGTTGGAGCGAATGATACTAGCCCGGATCCAGGAGTGCGACCGGTTTGCCTATTCGCACGGGGCCCTTCCAAGGCGCTGTGAACGTAAGATAACCCGGCCGCGAGCGACTGCATTCGGACTAGTCTACTAGCTGAGAAATTCAGGCCCTAAGTGTATACTTAGGGGTAGTTACCATAGTACTACATGAGATGCAATAGGGTATTTCAGAGCTGGAGGTGAAGAAGTAAAATGGAAGAACAAAACGCGCACTGCGCATGAGCAGACGCAGGGTGGGGGAAGCAGGGG